TAGATTTGTGAATAAAAATTGTTTTCGTATTTATTTCTTTATAAATAGATGAATAATAAATTTTGCATTGTATTAGTTCTAATTGTCTTATTTTTTAGAATGTTGTAAATATAAATTATCCTTGTAAATAAAGACTCTCATAAATAAGTAGTTTTTAATGTTTTTGTTGTTTCTCAAGAAGAAAAAATTCACTTTCATCATATGATTAGATTTTATTACAAATCTAATCGTCGCTTTCTTAAAACAATAAACATTGCCGACGAGTGAATGTAGTTCAAATAATAGCGGTGTTAAGGGAAATCGTCCTTTTGACATACGGCTTTTTTTTCAGACACGAAGGTCCAAGATTGCCAACTTTTTCCTGAAACAGTTTTAAAAATCGAATTTACCCCATGCAAGGCAGTAAAGCGACTGAAACGCAGGGGGCTACTGAGTGTGTAAGAATAAAATCAAAAAAAGAGAAAAACATTATTAAGGAACGAGAACAATAGAAGAATAATCAAGAAGACAGTAGATAACGATTGACATTGCATTCAAATTATGTAAGATCAAAGTTGGTCGAAAAGCATGGCGCCAGAAGAGAGATTCATAAACGAGAAGTGTGAGAGAAGAAACTATTAGCATAGAACTTACGGTTGAATCTAGCGAATTCACTTATAAATTGATGAGACCTTGTTGCCAATCTAGTACTTCACTTAAATTCATAAAGTCTAGGTACCTTAGGAGAAAGAATACAACAATTACCATCAAAGTATAGGGTGTTTCATTAAGACGGATTATATATAAGGGCATATTCATAAAGACGGATCAAAGTCAGCAGTAAATAAATCAGTGTTATTGGTTATTATTTCTGCATTGAATCATGTTAAGTCATGGCTATTATGCGTGAAAAATAATATCGCTCAAATGTCCGCCAAATCTGAAAGAATAAATCATTAGTCACTTAAACTTAATTCATATTTAAAATAGGTCCAAGTTATTGGAGCACCCTTTACATACATACATACACACACACACACGCACACACACACACACACACACACATATATATATATATATATATATATATATATATATATATATATATATATAAAGGGTGTTTCATTAAGACGGATGAAAGTCAGCAGTAAATAAATCAATGTTATTAGTGAAAATTATTTATTTCTCTATTGGATCATGTTATTTAAGTCATGGCAATTATGTGTGAGAAATGATATCGCCCAAATGTCTGCCGAATTTTAAAGAAAAATAAAAAAATCATTAGACGCTTAAACTTAATTCACATTTAAAATCGATCCAAGTTATGGGAACATCCTTTATTTATAAAAATGGCAGAGGGAAGCAACTTTACCGCGGTTGGAATGTAATAATTCCGAGATGCTAGGTCAGGACCAATAATATTGCTGATTCATCTTTGGATTTTATCTAGATTTTCTGAAGTCCACTAACGGTTATAGCTCTTTCTAATAATGATAGAAGTTTCCTTCCAAAATTCAATACCTTGATTATATCATTGTTCTTTTTTCTGGTTACTCATTTTATGTTGTATCTGTTATAGGTGTTTAAGTGATGTGGTTTTTGTTTGGTAAATCTTCCTTGACTTCGTGTTGACTTTATTCTATTTGGCCCGATGAAAGATTGTAAAACGGATTCATTTTTTAATCATTGATAAGTGAAAACAGTTGCATAGTGATGAGAGTTTAAACATTTCTCATTTAAGTGCCCTTCATAATATCCATATGATACTATCGTATGATTCATCACGGCTATTTAAGAAAATGAATTTTCAGGCCAATGGTAATCCGTTTTAAAAACAGGCTCCGAATTAATATTCGTTTATATTCGTGTATTTGCAAAAACTACAGATAACAAGGGACATCACAGTGGCACTAGACAGAAGTAGACAAAGGTGACATTAAACAACTACAGTAATGTCATCTATCGTACAGTTGGTTGAATCACTAAAATGCCACTGTTTTAAAAATCTGACTGGTTTCCCAGTCTCTCCGAACTTGAAAATCAGGTAAAACCCTACTTAGTAAATAATTCTTAATCTCTTTGATGCAAAACAAAGCAGTATTAGTTTTGATCTATACTGTCAAGGCACTTAATACAGAGCAGTGGTTTCTCACCTTCTTATACAAAGACGCTTCTTTCTCCTCCTGTTACGTAAAATTCAAATTTAAAAAAAAAGCTTATTTAACACTATAATCCAAAGAAGAATCTGCAAAGATTTTGGTCCTGTTCTGGTTTCTTGGTTTCAGTCCCTTTCCTACTTCCGAAGCATAGCTTCCCTTTGTCTTTCATAATATTTATTCTGAACTTTCCTCTTTGGTACTTAGACTTTATGAATTTAAACGCAGTACTAAACTGGCGGCTAGGTCTCATCATTTTACAATTGAGCTGGCTAGATGTAACCGTAACTTCTATGCTAGCAGTTTCTTCTATCGCACTTCTCGCTTATGGAACACTCTTCCGGCTCCAAACTTTCCGGCCAATTTTGATCTTCAAAAATTTAAATGCAATGTCAATCGTTATCTTCTGTCTTTTTTTCATTCATTTTCTCTGCTTAATAAAACTTTTCCCATATTCTCTGACACTCATTAACCCCTTGCGTTTTAGTGGCTTTATTGACTTGTTTGGTGCGAAATGATAAAAAAATTAAACATATATATGCATTTGGGTTTTTCTTAGATTCCGTTAAATAAGTCGCCAGACGAACATCTGTGGCTATTACTATGGGCTGAGAAGTTCATGGGTTGACTATGAAGAAGTGATGGCAGAGTTGTGAAATTTTTATGCATTAATTTTAACAGTTCTTACTAATTACTACATTTTTGAAAAAAAAGATCTGTTCATCCTGATGGGAGAAGAGATGATCAGGAGAATAGGGCCGACGGATCAACCAGTTCAAAGACATAGTCACGCACAGCAACCATTGAAACCAAGGACTTTTGTGCTGGTGTTCTGTCCCGATGAAACAGGACCACGTTCGCCAGTTTTCATGGGTTTTTAGTCTTGTAAACATTTCGTAGCCGCCTCAGATAAATTGATATCTGACAATTCAAAGAAGGCTTCCAAAGTAACTAGTAACAGCTTGTAAATGGACAAAATTTGGCATCGTGGTGCTACCAAATAACTGCAGAAAAAGGGTTTAGCCCTCAGGACATTCATGCTGAAATGGTTACGATATTAGAGGATGACGCTCCAGCTTTATCAACACTGCAATATTGGGCAGCTGAAGTTAGGAGGGGAAGGGAGAGCCTTGAAGATGACTCATGTTCTGGAAATTTGTAACAACCACGACAGAGGAAAACATTGTGATGGATGACAGACAATCAACTACAAATTAAATAGTCCATGCTATTAGCATATCCCGTATGAGAGTTGAGAATATTCTACACCATGAGCTTAGAATGACGAAGGTTTCTGCTCGGCGGGTGCCACGTCTTCTGAAAACTGATCAAAAGTGCACCAGGCTGATCACAACACAAGAACATCTGACATTGTTTGAGGCAAACCCAGTTACTTTACTTGAACGTTTCCTAACCCGAGATGGGCGTGGTGTTCACCATTTTCACTCAGAGGCAAAATGACATTCAATTTAGTGGAACCACCCTTCCTCATCTGCTCCAAAGAAGGCCATGGTCGTTTCGTTTGTAGGAAATGTGAGGGCACCATTTTGGAGGGATGCAAAATGCATTGTTTACTGACTGTCTTCAAAAGAGATCACACCATCAATGGAGAGTATTATGTCAAATTGCTGAGGTATTTACGAAAGGTTATCAAAACCAAACGGCCAGGAAAACTGACGAAAGGGGTCTTGTTTCATCAGGACAATGCTCATGCACACAAATCCTTCGTTTCTATGGCTGCTTATAGCTTTGAAATGGTTGATCACTCTCCCTATTCTTCTACCAACCGTTCTCCAGCATGAAAGAAAAAAAAAACACTTGGCTAGTAACTAATATCGCAATGATGATGACAAAACATCTGCTGTTGATAACTTTTTGGGCCAACAAGATTAAAGCTTTTTCATTAATGGGATCCAAACTCTACAACACCAATGGAAGAAGTGTGTGGACCACAACCTCATTTGATAACATTTCTTGAGAGTATCTTGCTCAGCCTATGAACTTTTTAGCTGACTCTCGTATATACCTACAAACTCGGAGCAGTGGCCTATTCCAGAGGTCGGCTGTATAACTAACTGCTATGTGGGTTCAAGATAAGGTGAGAAAGATACAAACAAACGTTGGGAGTTTTAACAACAAAATAATTTAAAATCATGCGTTCCTGTATAATTCCTATGTTAATTTTAATTTAATTTTTGAAAAGCATACATGTTCTTTAACTGTAAACGTTCTTTCACCACTTAAGTAACTTAGATATTGTCTTAAAAAATTTGTAAAAAAAAAAAGAAAAAAAAGAAAAGAAAAAATATTACTCCGTTCTAAAAATAAGACTTTATTATTACGCTTGTTTGTATATACGACAATTTTCTCCCTGTAATCAAAGTGTAGCATCGGCTCGATTCAGATTCCCTCTGAGCTAGAATCAGTTATATTATCCAACTGAGAAACCCTAATATTTTAAGTGGGAAGGAATTGGGAGAAGGTAGGGGAAGGGTATGAAGTAAAGGAGGGTGGGAAAAGGGAAAGGTAAGAGGAATGAAAACTGGAGGAGGAGTAGAATTTGGGGGATGAGAAAGAGGAGAAAGAAGAAAAGAGACTGTGAAAGAGGAAGAGTAAGTTAAAAAGAGGCTTTCAAGAAGGTACGAATGCTATAGAGAATAAAGGTGTGGAGAAAGAAAGGTGAGAGATGAGAAATCTTGAGAAAGGAGGAGGAGGAGGAGAAACGGGATGTGAAGGAAGAAATGTAGGAGGCAACAAAGCTCGAGAAAGGAGGAAGGGAAAGCAGAATGTGAAGGGGGAAAGGTAGTAGATAAGAAAGCTGGAAAAAAGGAGGGGAGGCAAAGATGCTGTGAAGAGGTAACGGCGCTAGAAAAAGAAAGTGTGAAGGGGGTAATGCAGAATAAAGTTAGAGGAAGGGGAAAGAATGTAGTTAGAAGGAAAGGTAGGAGGTAAGAAAGCTGGAGAAAGGAGTACGTGGAAATAGGATGTGAAGGAGGAAAGGTAGGAGGTAAGAAAGCTCGAGAAAGGAGGAGAGGAAAAACAGGATATGAAGGAGGAAAGGTAGGAGAGAAGAAAGCTCGAGAAAGGACGACTGGAAAACAGGATGTGAAGGAGGAAAGGTAGGAGGTATGAATATCGAGAAAGGAGGAGGGGAAAACAGAATGTGAAGGAGGAAAAGTAGGAGGTAAGAAAGCGCGAGAAAGGAGGAGGGGGAAAAGGCAGTGAATGAAGAAAGGTAGGAGGTAAGAAAGCTCGAGAAAGGAAGAGGGGCAAAGAGTGTGTGGAGTAGTTAAGACTGCTTAAAGGAAAAGAAGGTGTTGAAAAAGAAAGGTAAGAATATAGAGAAAGTAGGAGGAGTGTACCAGAGTGTAAAGGAGGAAAAGGAGGAGGTAAGAAAGTTAGAGAAAGGAGGAAGGGAGAACAGGGTGTGAAGGAAGAAAGGTAGGACGTATTAAATAGAAAAATGAAAAAAAAAAACAGATCAACATAAATCAAACACAATCGACGACGAATATCACGAGCGCGCGAACCCTGTGACCCATCAGGGTCGTAGGGGCATCAATCACAGTAGAAGTGGTGTTTCTTGGGCAAGATAACCTGATGTAGCTCAACCCTCTCCATATTGGTTTTGAATTCAGAGGTACCATCCCTTAGACCGGTTGCCCCCCCAAGGCTACAGAAGCAAGTCTGTCTTGCTATTTACCCATAGGTGGGGGAGGAGAAGATAATTCATACCTTTACCAAGAGCATTAGCACGTAAATGAATAAAATGGGTCTGACTGGAATTCGAACTCGGCTCTGTGATTCATCAATCCGAGCCACTATCCATTAATCTAGTTGGAAGTCAAGGGAAAATGAGCATAAGATTGAAAGGTAGACATGGCTAGATAATCTACCATAACTAATACGGTACTAAAGACTTTTACTAAGTACATCGTAAGAAAGATAAAAGAGAGGTTATATTTCACATTCCTTTTTCTCATTTGGGACTAATAGACGATCGAAAGGAATAAGGGATAGAAGATGAAGATACAGACAAAATTTAAAAGAACCACCAAAGCCCAGAATAATATTATTGTAAACAGCTGTGGAATTTCTTCGAGTCCAGCCCATTTTCAAAAATTCTTCGTCTTTGAAATAATTAAACAAATTTGTCTTCATGATATAAAGTACAAGAAAAACAACAATAAATAGGGCAAAACTTAAACGCCTAATGTTTGAATTCCCAAGAGAGATATTTCCAAGTCGACGTAATTGTTAAAAAATTCCACTGGGCGGTGTCGTAGACAAGTTCCTAGCTTAGCAAACTATTTCAAACCAAGAATAATAAACGTATTAAGGCATCTAGCATAACTTGATTGTTAAGGAGAACGTATCTGAAAACAACTTATAAAACAAATTCTATCCTTGTGAGCGTTCGACTAGTGTAGCAAATTAAAGAAAATTTAATACGATTTTCCTGGTTCTATCTTAGCATTTTTGTGGCGCAAGATTTCAAAACCAAATGTACTTGCATGGTATACGATGATGGGCTGAAAAGTCCATAGGCTGACGATAAAGTAATGATATTGGATATGTGCAATCTAGCATGCATTAATTTTAACACTTATTAATAACTGAATTGTTTCTTTCCAGGTACGAGAGCAGGTTGAAAAGTTAATATGATGACTATGAAGGAATCATGCTAAAACTGAAATCTTGCATGCATTAATTTCAACTCTTCTTATTAATAGCTGTATTCTTTTTTACAGGTAGCAGGGCGGGCTGAAAAGTTCATAAGCCGACAATGAAGGATCATTGCTAGATCTGTGAAATCTTGCATGCATTCATTTCAACTCTTCTTATTAATGTCCGCATCCTTTCTTTCCAGGTACGAGGGTGGGCTGAAAAGTTCATAAGCCGACAATGAAGGATCATTGCTAGATCTGTGAAATCTAGCATGCAAAAATTTCGACTCTTCTAAAAACTTTGTTTCGTTCGATGTATACTGACATCTGAAAATTCAAAGATTTCAAAAGATGCTAGTAACGACTTCTTATGAAAATGTACAAAATTTCGCATCAAGTTAATGAAGAAAAAGGGGTTTAACTCCCAAGGACATTCATGCTGAAATGGTTACGACGTTAGGGGATGACGCTCCAGCTTTATCAACAGTACAAAATTAGGCAGCTGAATTTAGGAGGGGAAGGAAGTTTCTTGAAGATGACACAAGGTCTGGACGTTCGCAACTACCACCACAGAGGGAAACATTGCGTGTGTTCCCCCCATAGTGATGGATGACAGGTAACTGACTATAAATTAAATAGCCAATGCTATTAGCATATCCCGTGAGAGAGTTGAGAATATTCTACACCATGAGGTTTCTGATCGGTGGGTGCCACGTCTTCTGAAACCTGATCAAATGCGCACCAGGCTGATCACAACACAAGAACATCTGACATTGTTTGAAGCAAATCAGTTACTTTCCTTGACGTTTCCTAACCCGTGATGGGCATTGTGTTCATCACTTTCACTAAGAGGCAAAATGACATTCCATGTAGTGGGACCACCCTTTCTCATCTGCTCCAAAGAAGGCTATGGTCGTTTTTCATTTTTAGGAAATGTGAGGGCACCATTTTGGAGAAATGCAAAATGCATTGTTCATTGACTGTCTTCAAAAGGGCCACACCATCAATGGAGAGTACTATGCCAACTTTCCGAGACAATTACAAAAGGTTATCAAAACCAAACGGCCAGGAAAACTGACGAAAGGGGGCTTGTTTCATCAGGGCAATGCTCCGGCACACAAGCCCTTGCTTTCAATTGCTGCTTATGAAGTGATTAATCACTCTCACTATTTTCTTGATTTGACTATCACCAGTTTCCCAACATGAAAAAACACCTTGTTGTTAACCAGTGATGATGACGTCATATCTGCTGTTGATGATCAACAAACAGGATGAACAGTCTTCTTCGAACGATACAGTTATTAAGTTGAAATTCATCATGCAAGATTTTATAGCTCCAGCATCATTCCTTCATAGTCAGCATATGAAATCGCTAAATCTTTGTTGTAATATAGTTTGCGCAAACAAATATGCAGAAATGTGAGTAATTAATTAAGATTTGAGAATTTCAGCTCGTATAACAAGGAACGTTGAAACCCTGAGGAAAGGATAACGAAAAGACTGAATAAAAAAAAAAAAAATTTACGAACTAAACTTTTATAACCGAGAAATCGGCTCCGAAGTTTATTGGTTAATAAATATTTTCCCAATTTTTAAATATCCATTTTAAAGAGGGAAAATGTTGTTGATCCTTTGCTAGAGTGAGCCTTCAAAATTTTGTGGCAGACAACAAATATTAATTGTCTGGAAATTCAAAGACCTACCAGCGCGTTTGAGATAACGTCGCTGATTGGTTGATAAACATGAATATAGAAATTAAAATCGAAGCCTCCAAAAAGCCTCCAAAATGCACCAAAAAATGAATGAATTTCTGTGTAAGCCGGCTTTGTACAAAAAATGAGTTTCCAGTGACAGTATTTAAATCTATTGCGTTTTTATACAATTCTGAAACGAGGCTCTCTCTCTCTCTCTCTCTCGCTCTCTCTCTCTATCTCTCACACACACACAGTCACTCTCTTTCTATATCTCTATCTCTCTCTCTCTCTCTCTCTCTCTCTCTCTCTCTCACACACACACACACACACACACACACATATATATATATATATACATATATATATATCGTTGTCTGCACCCGCTCGCATTCGAGCATCGGGATCGTCATACTCTCTCTCTTAATTTCCTTTCTCCCCTTTGGTGACGGTGACGGAGATGGCTGTGAAGGAACAGCCTACACTTGAAGAGTCATCAGCAGGAGTCACAGACAAGTGTGGGTGGTGGACGCGGATGGACTAGTTGAGGCCCTCCTACACCATGCAGCAGATCCTTTCCAGGTTGAACATATATATGTATGTGTGTGTGTGTGTGTGCGTGTGTATGTGTGCGTGTGTGTGTGTGTGTGTGTGTGTGTGTGTGTGTGCGTGCGTGTTTGTAACGTAAAACGTGCAGATATGCTCTACTTTTTGAAGTCGTTCTCCATATTGAAAAAATGCAACAACTGAGCCAAAATAAAACAAAATAGCATGACTGATACTTTCAGAAGAGTGACTCATTGCGCCTTATCGGGCTAGAGTTTTCTACTTGCATGAAACTGAAAGCTTATATTGAATCAATTGCTACGTCTGCTGCTCGGAAAGTTGGTTCATGGGACAAGTTTTCTCGTCTGAATTTATCTTATATATCATCCATACATTGAATATTTGGTCTCGTGTTTCTGCTAAGTATTTAGATTTTCTTGTTAAAATCCAAAGAAGAATATGCAATGATATCGATCCTGAACTGGCATTTCGGCTCCAATCACTTCGCACCGCCGTAACGCAGCTTCCCTGTGCCTTTTCTATAAATACCTTTATGGTAATTATTCTGATCAACTTTACTTTGTTATACAAATAATTTATGACTTTAAGCATGGTGCTTCATTGGTCAATTTTTTTATCTTTTGTCTTCTTAATTCATATTCTTTTATTGTTCTCGTTCTTTGATAATGTTTTCTTTTTATCATGATTTAGCAAACAAAAACGACATCACTTGAAAACCTCACATAACAGCAAGATAAAATGAGTAACCAGAAGAAAGAACAATGATATAATCAAGATGTGAGTTTTGGAAGGAAACATTCATCATTATTAGAAAGAGCTATAACAGTTAGTGGACTTGTCTAATGTCCTGTAAAGATTCTTAATAAAATCCAACGAAGTCTGGCGTTTTGGCTTCAGTTATATTCCCATCGGCGTAAAGTTACCTCCCTCTATAAATACTTTTATGGTAATTGTTCGGGTGAAATCTTTGCTATGGTACCTGAACTTTATGAATTTAAGTGCAGTACTAGATTGGCAATAAGGTCTCACCAATTTACAATTGAATTAGCTTAGATGTAACCGTATGTTCTTTGATAATACTTTCTTTTCTTGCACTTCTTACTTGTGGAACTCTTCTGGCATTATGCTTTACAGCCAACTTTGATCTTCAAAAATTTAAAGTTAATCGTTATCTACTATTTTCCTGTTTCTTCTTTTATTGTTTACGCTGCTTAATAATCTTTTCTTTTTTATCCTTACACACTCAGTAACCCCTTGCGTCTTAATGGCTTCATTGCCTTGCCTGGGATGAAATGATTGCAAAAAACATAAATGTTTTTTGTCAACAGTAGGATTTGTACCTCATGTAATAAGCAGTGTAAGAACAAGACTACTCTCACCAGGCATAGGAAGGTAGATAATATTAGGAAAACCAGGGACAAATAAATATTCAAAATAAGTGTGTTTGCCAGCAGCGTAAGAGAACTTAAAAGCCTTTCTGGTTTTAAGACTTAACGCAAATCCCAGGAGCGGACAGTGACAGCAATTGGATCGTTATAATGCAGAGATGGTTTTCCATGCAACTCGTCAGAACTCCACTATTATTATTATTATTATTATTATTATT